TATGTGGGAGCAGAGATGAAATAAGACCAGTATGACTTTGAAGATATATAGAGATATAAATTAAAGTCATAGGCACATGTAAGAGTACAAGGTTGGACCGACCCGCTATGAGAGAGCTACATGGGTTAAGTCATAAGCTTCTCTCACATACAAACCATGTCACTGTGCCCTTTGACCTGAGATCATCATGGATTCCTACATGAGAAACGCTTAGCTTTGACCTAGTCAAAAGTCACTTTTGACCGAGTGATCATAAAGACTATGTTCAGGCTTAATGGTTTTTCATGCGGAGGAATGTGAATGGTCAAGATGGAATTTGTCCCTCACATTCGCAGAGAGACATTATTGGGCCCCTCGATGAGTGAGTCTGAGAAATGTATGGCCATATTATAATGGAAAGGTAGTTCTGTTTCTATACTCAAACTACTCAGGGATCGAGAAAGTAACGGTCATGAATAGGAGGATGACGTTTTCCATGCCTAATCCATGACCAAAATGTCGTGTGACAAAAGGGACGTGATATGGTTGTATGAAAAGTTACATCGTTCAACGATCCTCATATGATTTGGGTAGTCGTGATGTCTTGCTAGAGACCCCTTACGACTTGTGAGTCATTATAGTTAATGGCCCACTGCCAACTTCATATGGGCCTACAGGGTCGCACACAAAATAGCCCAACACGAGTTATGATGTCCAGATTCATTGAATCTAAGATATGTCCAGATTCAATGAATAATATAGGGTGGACGTGTATATATATATATATATATTCGTATATATATACATATTATATAAATATAAGAGATATTAATTGTTAGATTTAATTTATAAGGATAAATTAAATCTATATAAATTAATTCCGTCATATCTTTTATTTTGAATTAAATAAATAGGTGAATTAAATCTATGAGACGGATTTAATATAAACCATATTTATTTAATTGTTCTCTTATCTGATTAGGCAATATTTGATATTGTATTAATTTCGAAATTAATTTAGGATTAATTTCGAAATTAAATATCATTCATAAAACCTATAGCATCCTATATATTTGATATTAGGAGCTAGGGTTTTGAGTGAGAGAGTGAAAATACTTGCAGATAAGAGACGGCCAAAAAATAGAGAAGGAGGACGGACTCTTTGAAAAACCCTAGACGGACAAAGAGGCACTAGCACGTCGTTCGTGACTGGAGAGCTATTCGTGTGGATACCGGTAGAGGAAGTCGACCGGAGTTGTCGACTTCGAACGACAAAGGAGGCGAGCAGAGGTATCCTGAACGGCGGAATCACCAAGCCACTAAGAAACTGAACATCGAAGGTAATGCTACTTACTACTCGACTTAAACACGATTGGTAGATCCGAGCAAGGGATTGAAAATTTTAAATTTATTTCTGTTGCGCGTCTTTCAATTCCCTTCAAATGTTATGTTATATGATATTGCCTCCATGTAAATTACGCCTTGGCTTATGCTATGTTGAGTGCCATAAATGTTTATGATGATATGTCCTTGCCATAGCATGAACATAAAGTTAGAGTACGCATGCATGTAGCTTGATTTACAATGTATTGTGTGACCTTGATAATGCATGCAATTGCTACTAAGATTCTACAACAATATTACCCAATATTTAAACAAACCCTAGGGCTTTCAACAACCAAGGGCAAAGGAGAGGAGTTGGCTCTTACTTGAAGAGGTAGTAAGCCATAGTGACCTTTATATGGCTTTGAACCTTTCTATTTTAGAGGAATGTAATATTAAGCATGCTTTAAGTTTCCAATAGTATGACTAAGGTTAGAAGTATACAAGCATGATTAAAAATAGCTAATATAACTAATGAGAATATGTTATGATGGTAAATGGTCAATTAAGTTAAGTTAACCTTCCAAAGGAGGTAAAAAGTCAACTAAAAGGGATTAAAGTTTGACCAATGACCATTTGAGTAAACGAGTGAGTTAGGTTATGAAATTTGGCAAGCAAAGAGATCTGATGTTTCTCTTTAAAATGAGTGGTAGTTTGCCTAATTCTGATAACCAAGCAAAAGTTATGCCTTTCTAAAATTAGGGAAAAATAAAGTAAAAATCCAAAAATGACCAAATAAACAGTAAGGTTTTCAAAGAAAAATGGATTCAAATTTCAAGGTGACCAGTTCACAAACTATTTTTTTCTCAAAATTTTATCCAAAGAGCTTGATAGAACTTAGAATCACTCAATTTTGATTTTTCTATAATTAGTTATGAATTTTTAAAGTTGGCAAAGATTTTAGTGAAATGTGAATAGTGCGCAAAAGCATTCTGTGACTTGAGGTTGCAACCTGAGAAGTTAAGGTCATGGCCTGGAGATAAAAATGGCCTTTGTGACTTCAAGTCACGACTTGGAAGCACTAAATCACGACCAGAACTGGGAAAATGAAAAAGTTTCAAATTTTTAAGCCTTTTCTCACACTTAAGAGTCATAGAAAGTTACAAACGTGATTTTTCATAACTTGTAGTTTTCAAAAGTGATTCTAAATGCTTCCGCATGACAATTTATTTGGTATAAACTTAAAGTGTTACAGCAAGCAAAGTAGAAAGATAACACAGTTCCACCTCCAGTATGTATGGAATGTGAACAGAAAGAAGAAAGGCCGAGCATCTCACAAGAACTTTGGAAAAATTCACTAAAGGCGGTGAAATGCTCAAAGTGATTCTGGGAGCTCAACGGTTTTCAATGGATAAAATCAGAATAGGATATGATCTTGTTCAAGATAAGATGAAAGCAAAGAAGAAAAGTAGTGGTCGGTCGTATCTTACCTTCTTTAGAAATATTGCATTCCTCTAACTCTTCTGTATGATGTTCTTATTACAATCATAAAGGTCATACAACCTCTTCTTGTTATCACAAGAAAAACCAAATTTACGGGACATTAAAATGGGTACCCAAAGGTACTTATGTGCCTAGGACAATCCATATTAACCAAAAAGGACCCAAGAAGGTATGGGTACCTAAAACATGATCGTGTTATTGCAGGTATGTCTCAAAGCATCTAGAACGAACAAATAGTACATCAACAGTGGATGCTCCAAACATATGACGGGTGATACCAAGAAATTCACTTCACTCAAACTAAGAGAAAGAGGCAAAGTAAGCTTCGGTGGCAATCAACCTGGAAGAATTACTGGAATCAGAGAAATAGGTATTGATAAAGGGATGAAGGTTGAAGATGTATACTACGTAGAAGGCTTGTGTCACAATCTGCTTAGTGTCAGTTAGAGTACTAACAAAAACAATTGGGTGATCTTCAATTCAGAGGAATGCTTAGTAATAAGCAAAGATGACTTACCACTGAAGAAGGAAGAATTGAATGTAAAGTTGAGAGCTCCAAGGGACGGTAATTGTTATACTCTTCAAATTGATTCAAAACTTTCTGAAAACTGTTTTATTAGTCAAAAAGAGGAAAGTTAGGTTTGGCATAAACGTCTTGCACATGTTAACATGAATCAGCTTTCAAAATTAACAAAGAGAGACTTGGTTATTGGTTTACCAAAAATTTAGTACGAACATGATATTATTTGCGATGCTTGTTAAAAGGGTAAACAAACAAAGTCTCGTTTAAATCAAAGAAGATAGTCTCAACCAAAAGGCCACTCCAAATGCTTTATATGGATTTGGTTGGTTTGTCAAGAGTCAAAAGTTTCGGTGGAAATCTATATACTCTTATGATAGTTGATAACTATTCGAGATTCACCTGGACTATATTTATTTCCTCTAAAGATGAGACGTTTAATGCATTTAATGTTTTTGCCAAAAAGGTCCAAAATGAGAAAGGTATTTCTACTATGTCAATTAGATATGATCACAGAGGAGAATTCGAGAACAACAAATTTGCAGACTACTGTGACGAGCATGGGATTGATCACAACTTCTCAGCACCAAGAACTCCTCAACAAAATAGAGTTGTTGAATGAAAGAACAAAGTGCTCACGGAAATGGCAAGAGTAATACTAAATGAGAGAGGGATTTCACAAGTGTTCTGGGCCGAAGCAATGAGCATGGCTTGCTACATCTCCAATAGAGCTTACATCAGATATTTTCTAACTTTGTCTCCTAATTAAGGGACATTAATTATTTAATATTTGACTGGAGCATTTTATCCAATCCTGAACTCCAAAAATTCATTTATTTATACCATAAAATTCATTTAATTCTGTAGAAAATCTATGAATTTTCTCAGATCATAACTCAGATCATAACTTAGACCATAAGTATTTCTTTTTAAATTTCCCATAACAAACCCATAAACTGCAGTTTTGGCCTTAAAAAAATGTTAAAGCCATTTTACTGGCCTTCTGGGATTGAGACTAATTTTATAAATTCTATAGCCTCTTAGATCATACATCCCCATTTTACCATAATTTTATGAGGTTTCCTTATGACTCAAACAATTAAATCTACCTCTACATCTCAAACTGAGCCATAAACTTATAAATTCCTTTTAAGTCAAATCAAGGGCATTTTCATCATTTCTCCTCATATACAGGCCTTAAAATGTCATTTTCCATTTTCTGAAATTTTCTAGAATTTTTGGGTATTACTTCCATTTTTACCCATTTCTGGCGTGAAACCTTTCAAAAATTATGGTTTTGCCCTTGGTCAAGTAAACCTCATAAATCACCCTATTATTGCCTCTATCATAACTTTTGGTCTAAACTAACCTCTTTTCCCATTTTTGGGCCTTGAGACTTCACTGAAACCTCTAACTTTCTTTACATTTTTGTCCCTAGAACTTTCTCTATTTACAGTTTAGTCCCTAAAACCCTTCAACATTCCTTTTACATTTCTGGGACTCTTGCTTATAGGGATTTAGTAGCCTACCTATCTTAGGCTAATCCATGTATTCTTAGGCCCAAAACTTGGGGCGTGACATGTATCATGATGTTAGAGAGCTTTTCTGGTGGCTTAGAATGAAGAAGGATACTACGGAGTATATGGTAAAGTGTCTCACTTGCTAGAAAGTAAAGATGGAACATCAGAAGCCTGCAGGAGAGTTACAACCCCTAGATATCCCTGAGTGGAAATGGGATAGCGTATCTATGGATTTCATAGTAGGATTACCGATGACAGCGGGTAAACATGATGCGATGTGGGTTATAGTAGACCGTCTGACTAAGTCCGTGCACTTTCTTGCTATGAATGTCAAAGATTCTCCCGAAAAGTTAGGAGGCTTTACATCAAGGAGGTTGTTAGGCTGCATGGTGTTCCAAGCAATATTGTTTCAGACCGAGACCCAAGATTTACTTCTAAGTTTTGGAGGTCCTTACAGAAAGAAATGGACACTACTCTCAGATTCAGTATAGCCTACCATCCCCAGACAGATGGGCAGACAGAACGAATGATTCAGACATTGGAGGATATGTTACATGCTTACATTTTGGATTTTAGTGGTAATTGGGATACATACTTACTGTTAGCCGAATTCGCCTACAATAACAGTTTCCATTCAAGTATTCGAATGGCACTATACAAGGCACTCTATGGGAGGAAATGTAGATCTCCCTTATGTTGGACAGAGCTTAGTAAAAGAAGCATCCTTGGTCCATATATAGTGTATTAGACTTCCCGACAGATTAAAGCTATTCAGTGACGACTTCTAACAGCTCAGAGTAGACAGAAGAGCTATGCAGATACAAGAAGGAGACCGTTAGAGTTCAAAGTTGGTGATCACGGTTTCTTTAAAGTGTCACCAAGAACGGGAGTTGGTCGATCCCTGAGGACCAAGAAGCTGAGTCTGAAGTATGCTGGACCATTTCAGATTTTGTCCAAAGCTAGACAAGTAGCCTACAAGTTGGCTCTTTCCCCAAAATTAAGTCAGATTCATGATGTCTGCATGTCTTCCAACTGAAGAAATACCATCCAGACCTGATACATGTCATAAGTTATGATGACATTGTGCTCCGAGACAACCTGTTTTTTGAGGTTAGACCAGAGCGAATCATTGATCAAAAGATCAAGCAGCTAAGGAACAAGCAGATTTCACTGGTCAAGGTGGTTTGGAAGGGTCTTTCCCCTAAAGAAGCCACATGGGAGATGGAGATCGAGATGAAGGAAAAGTACCCTGAACTTTTCTATTAAAGTATGCTTTAAATTTTGAGGACGAAATTTATTTAGGCGGAGAAATGTCACATCTAGTACTATGATAATTAGGAATAAGAAATATTATGAGACAATTAAGAGCCAAAAATGATAAGGAGGAATAGAAGAATTTTGGTGGAAAATAATTATTATGATTTTCCAAGCCAATTATGGAAATTTGACTAATTAAGGAAAATTGGTCAAATATAATTGTGGAATAATATTTGCAAGCCTTAGAAAATTAAGGAAAAATGAGGATAATATCCTTTGAGAATTATATTAGATTATAAAATTGGTTTTATGACCAAATTACCCTTAGAGAAATTACAAAGAATTTAAGGGTGATTTAGGCCAATTTAAGGGATTTTATTTGAAAAATTCCAAATAAATATTTTTAAGGAGAATAAAATTATAAGAAAATTCCTATGATATCCCAAGGAATTACAAGAGATTATGGAATTAAATAAAGACCCTCAAGTATCCAAGATTTTTCCCAATACCTCTGAAAAGTGGGAAAACCCTAAAGAGAAGGAAATTAGTTTTCCTTTTTATTTAATTATTGGGAAATTAATTTTGAGACAAAGAGGGCGATTTGGAAAGATAAAAATAAGGAGAATAAATTAGTGATCTGATAGAAAAGCTACCAACTTGATTATACAACCAAGGGTTCAAGGTTAGTTCTTGGTTCTAAATGGATCCTTGCCTTGTTTTCTTTCTTTGTATGGTTAAAAATTTCTGTTTCTTCTCTTCTTTGGGTACTGGACAAACTGATTATCATGTGGGGAAAGAAGTTTTGTTGATCACACTTGCTAGAACACTTCAAAACATGTTAGTTCCTAGTGGTTGCAAGTGGTCATAGGTTGTTTTTGAAGTATTTTCTTGGTTGTTCCTCTTGAGGTTCATTTCGGCCAAGGTAGTAAATGAACCCTAGGATGATTATGTTTTAATGCTTCCATTGTGCTCAAAATGAAAAATGGTGTAGGATAAACCTAAAGAACAAGTGTTGGAAGCATTAAAAATCAAAGTTGTAATTTTTGGTTAAAGAACCCCTTTGGTTTGGTCAAGAGAGAACTGAAAGGAGGAATTTTATTTTCTCAAATCTAAGCACATAATTGGAATCTACATGAAAAATCATGTAGGAAGAAGTCAAGAAGCAATTTTAGGGTTTACGGAAAACAAAGGTCATAAATAAAAGAACAAAAGTAGAAGCTTTAAGGAGCAAGAGTTATGTTTAAGTTGTGTTCTTGCTTTTACTTGGTTTGGTTAATGATTCTTGCTATCCTTTTTGGTGGATTGCCATGCTAGGGTTTGACATTTGTGAAGGAAAAGAAGAGAAACAAAGAAAACTCAAGCTTTTGGAGCAAGGTAGCAAGTTGAATCTAACTGCTAACATTAGCTTGGCATTGTTGATTATTGCATGATTAATTGCTATTATGTGGATGAACTTTCTTAATTGTGATGTGGCTGCTCTTTGCACTTTCTTACTTTGGCCTTTGCTTGATTGAGTTTGCCAAATGATAAGCATGCTAGTTCACCAATAGTAGTTAATGTAGTTATGCATAATGATGATGCTTGTTGATGATATAGTTGGTTAATTTGCTATTGGGATTTTAATGAAATCTCATTCTCCAAATGCAATCTAACATTTTAGGTCCTAAAACATCCAAAGGTAAGCTACAGATTGAAGGTTAAATTATGGTATCATACCATAAAAATTCGTGGATTTTTGGGCTATGTAATATTATGCTGAGCAGTGCTGTAAATTCACTGACACTGCCACCTTTAAGTAACGTCTTGATTAAGTTTCCAAATGCTTTTAATCACGAAATTTGGCATGTTTCTGAGCTTTATTTTGATAGTTAACACATTAAAAATAGCTAACTACATGATTTTTAATGATTTTTCAAAGTTAAGGTTCAGAATCTGGAAAAAGAGGTTTTTGCCTAATAGACAGAGGTGACTTTCACAAAATCCTGATGCTTTTTCCAATGGAATTGGTTCACAAGACTATTTTTTCCTGAAAGAGAATTCAAAGAGCTTTTTATAGAATTTTGAACCACTCCATTTCAATTTTTCTAGATTAAGTTATGAATTTTTGAAATTGGACTAGAAAACTGAATTTTTACCCAATGAACAGTGAAAATCCAAAAATTAGCATTTTTGAGATAAAATTGAGCCCAAGACCATCCAATGTGGTCTAAAATGGTTTTAATTGAACCCTAAGATGATACGATACTAAGGTGTAACAAGCCTTGTTGGTACACTTTTACATATAAGTGAAAAGACTAAGGATCGAATCAATGCAAGACGAGACTTAGTCGAAATTGGAATAAAAAAGTCCTCCACCCATAAGAAAGAGATGGTAAAAGGGCTTATTTACATCCAGTTGTGCATACATTATCAAAAGAAGAAAAAAGAAGTTTTTGTGGTTTTGTCAATAGCTTTAAGGTGCCATAAGGTTATTCTTCTAATTTGAGTAAACTTGTTTCAATGCAAGATTTGAAGATAATGGGAATGAAGTCTCGTGATTGTCACGTGTTGATGCAACAATTACTTCCACTTGCTATTCGAGGCATTATGAAAACCGATGTGAGAAATACTATTACAAGACTTTGTGTGTTTTTTAGTGCCATTTACCGCAAAGTCATTGATCCTGCTGAGTTAGATGAATTAGAAAATGAAGGTTATGTGATCCTCTCCCAATTAGAAATGCATTTTTCTCCATCTTTTTTTGATATTATGGTCCACTTGTTAGCTCATCTTGTGCGAGAGATAAGACTTTTGTGGCCTTGTGTGTTTAAGATGGATATACCCTTTTGAGAGATACATGAAAATCCTAAAAAGGTACTCTAAGAATCCTTATCAGCCTGAGGCATCAATTGTTGAGAGATACATAGCTGAGGAGGCAGTTGAGTTTGGTAACGCATATCTTGATAGGGTAAAGGTAGTTGGTCTTCCTCAATCTTGACATGATCAGGGGAGAAGCAAGGGAACACAGGGTGTCATAGTGAGGTCTATGTCAAGAGAAGTTGAAATGCAGGACATCTATACATTTTAAACAACACGAATGAAGTTTTGCCTTACTTGAATGCGCACAAGAATATGCTGAAGAACTTGAATCCGAGAAAGAATGATATGTAACTAACTAATGAACATAATAAGTCATTTGCAGAGTGGTTCAAGCAAGAAGTGTTAAAAGATAGCAATCCTTCTGAGACAATACAGAGGCTAGCTGCAGGGTCTTGTTTTGAGGTTTTGTGTTGGGGCGGATATGACATAAATGGTTATTCATTTTACACAAAAATCCAAGATGATAAGAGTACCATGCAGAATAGTGGGGTGATGGTAGTAGTGGAAGCTATGTATTTTACTAGTTCTAAAGATAGAAACCCAACATTGGCGGCAATGTCCTATTATGGAATAATAGAAGAGATATGGGAGGTTAGTTATACCAAGTTTAAAGTTCCCGTCTTCAAATATAAGTGGGTTAATAGTAATGCTGTGTAAGTGGATGAAGAATTTGGATTTGTTTTGGTCAATCTTGAGAGCTTTGGATATGGAGACGAGCCATTTATTTTGGCAAGTCAAGCAAAACAAGTGTTTTCGTTCCCAATCTAGCAAAAAAGAAATTGTCTATTGTGCTTCAAGGTAAGAGGCAAGAGGTTGGTGGAGATGATGGTGACTTAGAGTTTAATCTCAATGAAACCCCGCCTTTCACAGCTACTCGACCTAAAACAATTGAATTAGATTTAATAGATGATGACTATGCTGCTAGAGATGATCATTGTAAAGGAATTTGGGAGAATAATCATTGTAAGGCTTAAATGAATTAGATATTTCTTTTGTTAAATATACTTAATAATGTTTTATATTAACTTGATATTTCTTATTCTTATATTTATTAATTCGTTGTTCTTTGAACAGGAAATGGATAGATCTGGTCAATAGGGTTCTGGCGATGACAACTCTTCTACTAGCCAGAGAAAGGGTAGAGGGCAAACCCATATGAGACATTTGGCTTTACGTGATGAGACCACACAGTCTATGAGGATTACAGTGGAGTTTGATGATGATTTGAAGCCTATAGGAAAGACTGGGGCTCAATATACTAGTTATGTGGGTTATGTCGCACGCAATAAGATTGGGATTGACATTCCTAGTTGAAAGACAGTGGACAAAGATTTGAAGCAAAACATTTGGGAGGATATCTTGGTACATTATGAATTATTTTCTCTACTTGTCTCAATTATAATTGCTTATTTACTTTATAACTTTATGCTATTGTATTGCAGCTGACATTTGATATTCCCGCCACTGAGCAAATGAGAGACTGTATGTTTAAGCAACTTGATGAACGGTGGAGGGATTTTAAAGCTATACTTACAAAATATTATATTCATGGAAAAAGAAAGGGTGAGCATCCTAAGGAACGATGCCCATTTATTAGTGACGAGGTATGGGACAGTTTTCTAAAGCAACGTGAAGACCCTGCATTTCAGGTTTGGTTTCTTCAAACTTAGTTTTTAATCAAGTCATATTTTATTTAACTAAACTAACTTTGTCAAATTTGTTTCATTGTCATAGGTATTGAGTTAGAAGAACAAACAAATATCTAAGCAAAATGTGTACCCACATACCATGTCTCGTGCAGGGTATGGTGGGTTGGAAAGAAGTATGATGGAGGAGCAGATGAAGAATGAACATATGGCTGTTGCTTCAGATCCTACTGGCTACATTCCACCTATTAAGCATCCTTCTTGCCAAGAAAAATGGAAGGCGGCAAGGATTAAAAAGCATCAATACATTACTCCACAGTCTGCTGCTGTTGTTGAGAGGGTTGTAAGTAATATTTAAGAATTATGCTTCATTAATTGCTTTTTTCAATTATCTGAAATTGAATTTATTGCTTTAATATTACAGGATACACTTGAGGAGCAATTATCCCAACGTACATTCATCCCTCAAGGACGGATGGATATTTTGGCCACTGCCATTAGAAA